ATCGTCTTTTGCTCAGGTGGCCTTTCTTACTACGTTCGCCGCCTGGGGCGAGGCCACAACCTAAGGTCACCATGTGGGTCCCGACTTGACCCGCCAATTTGTCGAGCTGCTCCCCGAGGCGACAAGCAACCCTGGGGGACGATCCAAAGGTCATCAACTTATCTTGGGCTAAATTGACTCCGAGCTCCTGCTTGAAAACGCGGTGCAAGTCCTGCGCCGCAGCCGCAAGTGTGTGGATGACCTCGGTCTCGAAACCATACGCTGAGACCGTGTCGTCGTCCACATACGACGCCAGATCAATGCTGGGGTTCCGTTCCACGAAACCGTCGAAAGGCTCGAGCGCGTACACTCGCACGAAGATATCGTTAAAAATCGACCCAGCTGGCAGCCCGCTTTTAGCGTGCAACGCCGCCAGCGCATGATCCGTGCCTAAACGCAGGATCCGAGGGCCCCTCCAGAAATTGTACGTGACTTTAAGCACCACAGGATCGAGGCCCGCTCTCTGGCCCCTGTCACGGAGAAGTCTCAGGTCGAAACTCTCATAGTACTTCGAACCATCCCAAGAGAAACCCGCAGTGACTCCGCCTTCGGCCACTCGGGCCTCCGCTTTGACCGCCTGGTTCCACACGCTACCTTCCGCCGACTTCCCAGCTCCAAAGGCCCAGTACCTACGCGGGTGGCGGTCGTTGAAGGACGTCAGCTTCGGTCTACGGAGCCGCTCCCAAAGCCTAACTGGGGAGGAACACAACAGAATCGGGCGCAACCCACCTTTCGGCTTTTCCAGGAGAGGGAAGAGCATCCAGTACAACGCCCGAGGAAAGAGACCAATCTTTTCAACACACTGAAAAATGCACGCCAGGGTGTCGAGGCCAGTGTCCGACATACAAGCGAACTGTCGCACGTGCACCCCATCCAGGGACTGAGCCGTGTGCGGCGAGAACATCTTGGCTGCAGCTCGCAGCTCCGCCGCGGTGGCTCGCTCAAAACAGTGCCTATCTGGGACATCAACTGGGGGTGGTGTGGTGGTGGCATTCCAATACCCTCCTAAAACATTGGCTTCGTGGGCCAATAACTCCCGCGGGTCCGACGTGAAGGTCCCAGGACTGGTTTCTATCACCGTCGGTTGCCACTTGGCCTTCAACCTCGTCAGCCTGTGCATCTTTCGGGCAGACCCCGCCAGGGCCTCCGTCTGCCACTGGTCCCAACTCTGCTTCGCTTTTTGATCCAGCCCGTCACGGGCCGCCTGAAAATCTTCAGCCCAGTCCTCTAAGGTCTCCGAGCAGTGATCAATCCACCCAGCAAGGGCCACTAAGTCTTGCGGCCATGCCGCCGCCAGCTCACGCGCCTTGCGGACAGTGAGATCCAATCTCGGAGACAAACCCTCAGCTTCAAATGGCTGAGAGACAATCTGCACAAGGTTAAGGGCAGCCTGCACTTCACTGTGATCAATGAACTTGTCAGCTTGCACGAGAATGCGCTGACTAGTGTTCCTAAGGTCATTCATCCCCTGTTGCAGCCACACCCATCCCTCCCCAATGCGCACATCATCATCATCTTTGCACTTCGGGGGGTTCATAACAGGCACCCACTTAGCCTGAAGCTGCTTACCTTTGAGCCCTTTACGTTTGATGGGGGTGCCCGTTCTACTCTCTAACTCTAACTCCATCGCATCCGCGAAAGCTTTCCACGCACGGTCCAGGACCCCCCAAACAAGCCCAACCTCGTCATGGTCGGCCCTACGGTTCGCCTCCTCGGCCACAGCTCGGGCCACGGACCAGTCGATCGGGGGAGGGGTGGGGCCGACGGGCAGGTCCACTGGGAGTTTCTGGTGAGTCTGGTATACCAGTTGCCGCAGCTTGGTTGCCCCAGGCCTTAATCGAAGCTGTACAGGGCGGTGGGGCCTCTTCGGCCACGTGCTGTCGACCTCGGTGTTCTGCACAAGCTTGCAGAAGGCCGCCGGCGCCATGAAATAATCAATCTTGGTGTTTGCTTTCGGCGTGGCACACGTTTCGATACTGGGCTGCATTATCATCATGGAGGCCTTGCGAGGCATGCCAGACGCCTCTGCAATCACGGCCGAGAAATTCCAATCAGCAGCAAACACCGAGAGATGCACACCTTCTAAGACTTCACCCGCATGTCTTAAAATCTGGAGGTTCCGCTTGCTCAGCCCCTCACTGGTGAACATGTACGCGCATCCCGCTAGTAGCTCGGGCCACCCTGGAATGTCGATCGTAGCGAAAATCAGCCTGTGTTGTACAAGTATGCCTCTGGGGAGCTTAGTGGGCCACCTCAGGCCGATAGACGTCCGTGCCAGTATAGCAACTCCAGCTGACGTTTGCCCACCTGCACACTTGACCGACGGAGCACAAAGCATGTTCCAGCCTAAACTCTTAGCAGTCGAAGTTCTCGCCGCCAAGTCCTCTTCAGTAATACCTATTTCCTGTGCAAACACCACCAGGGCCTGTGTGCTCCTCAGTCTCTTCCTGAGTGTGCCCCAGCTGTTACCGTTATACGATTCAAACACGAGAGGCTGACCCTCCAGGTCGGCAGGGGCGGCGGCTTTAGGCGGTAAGCCAACTCCGTGTGCCGTGACACGCAAACCAGTGCACTTGGGCCCCAGGTGGGGCCGCACACGGGCACTGTCACACAAAACTGGCGGCTGCGGGGACTCAGAGGGACTCAGGTGCTCGGGCACTCCATTGTGCCTGGCTACTCGCTCCTCGCCATCCTCGTTGAACTTGATACCCTGGCCGTACTGCAGCACGTCCAGAAGGTGCCACACTGCCTTCAGGTCCACGTAGGTCTGAAGTCTGAGCCACCTCTCGTCGCACGTAACCTCGAAGAAATGCACCGCGTCATCAGGCAAGGCTTGAGGAACTTCTGACCCTTCATCGTCAGTAGCCTGTCGCCGATGACCCCCTTCGCCAGGATCGTCTGGCATGCGTCTGACACCCTCAGATCCCGAAGAACCTGAGGTATGGTTTTTCTCACTGCGTGAAGCAAAAGGTTTGGATGAGAATCTCGCCGCCGTCCACGTCGAGCCATGCCACCTCGCCCATGACGGTGTGTGGCTAAAGCTGCGGCGCAGTCTTCGGCTTCTTGAGCTGAGCGCCCAGCAGGGCTTGGGTGAAGGCTCGCTTGTCGCCACGGTGCTTCTCCCAGAAAGCCTCTGCCGCTGCTTCGTCCTGGAACGCATCATCCATCTCCTCGCCATGAGGCGTGGGCACTTGCTCACCGTCGTCGACATTGGATTCAGCGTCAGCACCAGGACCAGAGGCAGCTCGATGCACAGCAAACAGTTTGACGAACTCCTTGAACTCGGCCGTCTCGAGCATGGACTTGATCGCGTCCTTGCCCTCCAAGGCCTCAGGTGGGAGGGAGAAGTCGACGGGCCGCTTGTCGCCCGCGTCAGAAGCCTGACCAGGGAGTGACTGCACGTGCTGCCTCTGAAGTTCAGCCACTTCAGCCTCCGCTGCGATCTTGCGTGCCCTGATCTCGTCCGTTTTGACATTGAGCTCGTCAAGCAACTTGATATGCTCCTCCAGCTCTGTCGTGACCTTCTCCATCTTCGTAGTAGCACGAGCCAAGCGATGCCCCACATTGGTGTGCTGCGTGATGCTCGGCTTCTTACTCTCGATCTCCGAGCGCACCGCCTTGAGCTTGGTCTCAAGTAGCGTCCGCGCCTCGACCGTGTCGTCACTCTTGCCACAGGCCTTGATCGCACCCTCGAGCTCGAGCACTCGTGCCTGTAGCGGATCTTGCCCGTCACCTCCTCCACCATTGGATTGCGTGCCCCCATGCTGGCCAGGCCCTTGTCCAACAGTAGGGGCGCGGGCAGGCTTGGTAGCACCTCCAATGACCTGGTCCAGCTTCTTCTGCAACTCTGCCAGCTTGGATTCCAGTTTGGCCTCTCGCCGCGAACCAGCAGCAGGAGGACGGCCGCGCCCAGGCTCCAGCCGAGGAGGGCTCCCGCCGCCGCCAAAGGCCTTGGCGCGCTGCAGCACGAACGCGGGGGCCTTCGCCCCGCAGCGGCACCGCAGCCTGCACGCCCAGTTGCTGGTGAGCCCGCAGCTCTGGCAGCCCCAGAAAGGCGTCTTGGGGCCGCGGACCACATCTGCACCATCCATGAAGGCCGCCGCACTGCTGTGCAGCGACCGAGTCCCTCGGAGCGCCGAGGGGCGAAAGACTTGCACCTCCAGGTGCTCACTGAAAAGCTAGCTGAGGCAGCCAGGCCAATGGAAGGGGCTGCCCTTCCACCTCAGCCTCGAGCCTCGGGAGTCGGGACGGGAGGTAAACCCCGTCTTGAGCCAAAATGGCTACGGGAAACGCTAGCGATGGAATCCGGAAAACTCTTGTAAGTGTGCGCGGCGCTAAGGCGAGAGCAGCCGTATTTTGAAAACGTCTCTCACTCAATCCGTGAAGTTCTTTCAGATGACTGAGACGAGTGTGTGCGGTGCTAACTCAAGAGCCACATTTTGGAAAGGAGCCGCCCCCAAGCCGTGACGCTCTGGTAAATCTCAAAAGCGAAGGTGCGCGGCGCTCAGGCAATAGCGACATTTTGAAAACGACTCGCCCTCAGTTCGTGAAGCTACTTTCAAATGTTTAAGACGAGTGTGCGCAACGCGAAGGCGAGAACCATACACACATACATTTATATATACACACATTTTTATATAAATAGTTATGGAAACGACCGTCCTCAACCCGTGAGACTTTGCAAGCCACATTTTGAAAACGACCGTACTCAAGCCGAGAAGCGGTGCTAAAGCGAGAGCCACATTTTGAAAACGACCCGCCCTCCATCTGTGAAGGTGTTGTCAAATTCTAAGCTTCAGGATCGTAAGCTGTAAGGGTGTCTCAGGCGAAGCGCCTGGCCCGCCCTTTCGACCGGACTCGGGGTGCGACATGGAGGAGTTACGTACAAGGAAAACGAATGGAGGATGAGGAGCAGCAGGAGCAGGTCTTGGAGCTGGGACAGGGCGGGCCGGCCCGAACAGGAAGACGACACCTTCCCTTCCGACCTCGTTGACGAGGAGGCGGGGCAGCAGGCGCTAGAGACCAGGAGCGCGGGCAGCGCGGGCAGCGGCCACGGTGCCACCTACCACCAGGCCTCCCCATCCTCCCTTGGAGATCATCCTTTTCCTTCTCCTCCTCCTCGTCCTCCTCCTCCTTCCAGAACCCTCGGGCGTGGCGAGACTCTTCCTCTAGCAGAGCTTTCGTGCTGGCCTCTCCTAGGATGGATCGGCGCTCCTCGCGATACGTCTGCCCCCTCCCCGTCCTCATCTTTTCCCCCTCCCTCCCCCCTCCTTCTTTCTGCTGTTCCTCCCTCTTCCTCCCTCTTCTTCCTCCTCTACTCCTTCACCCTCGGCCTTCTCTCCTCCGTTCCAACGAGGAGGAGGATGAATAGGATGAATAGGATGACGATGATGATGATGATGATGATGATGATGATGATGATGATGATGCTGCTGCTGATGCTGATGATGATGATGATGAGGATGAGGATGAGGATGAGGATGAGGATGAGGATGAGGATGATGATGATGATGATGATGCTGATGATGATGATGATGATGATGATGATGATGATGATGATGATGATGGTGGTGGTGGTGGTGGTGGTTGTGGTGGTGGTGGTGGTAGTGGTGGAGTGGTGATGGTGGTGGAGAAGGAGGAGGAGGAGCGCTCCTCTACTCCCTCCCCCTCTCCCCTCTTCTTCAACCCGCTTCTCCTCCTTCTCCTCCTCCGCTCTGTTTCATTATGCGTAATTGCTTCCTGTCGTACCCCCAGACGTGTCGGCCGGGCGGGTCGGGCGTTTCGCTTGAGACAACCTCGCTATGTATTATCCTGAGGCTTGACAAGATGGATGGAGGGGCTGCCGTTTTCAAACTGTTGCTTTCGTCTTAGCGCCGCACACATTCGTCCCAAAGTTCTGCAACAGTTTCAAGGACGTGGCACATGTCGTTTTCAACATGTTGCTTTCGCCTCAGCGCCGCGCGCAATCGCCAGCACATTCACAACAGCTTCAAGGGAGGAGGGTGGTTCCTTTTCAAAGTGTGGCTCTCGCCGTAGCGCCGCGCACAGTCGCCTGAAACATATTGCATCAGCTTCGGGATGGAGGAGTGGTCGGTTTCAAAATGTGGCTCTCGCCCTAGCGCCGCCTACATTACGTATCGAAGAATTGGTACAGCGGTTTCAGGGGTGGAGTGGGAATATGTTTCAAACTCTGGTCTCGCCTTGGCGCTGCGCACATTCTTTTAAACTTTCCTGGGGCAGTTTCAGGTATGGAAGGGGGGCGTTTCCAAAATGATGCTCTCGCCCTGGCGCCCTGAACATTCGTTCGAGGCATTTACGTTTCAAAGCGGGGCTCTCGCCAACATGGCAGGTGCAGGTGTGCTAATCTTTCACCGGGGGCGCTCCTTTTAGCGAAGCGAAAAACTTGCAGGTACGGGCTAGGAGGGAACTTGGGACGGGAGGGTGCGTTGCAGCATCGCTGATACGTCTTTGGTTGTTTCTGGTCTTCACCCCCTCTTCATCCTTCCAGGACTGAGCATCGAGTCTCGCTGTTTTGCTGCGCCCTGGCCACTGCTGGACCCCGCACAGTCCGTCAGAGACTTCCATACGACTTCGGCCGTTCTCGGCGTCAGCGTGGTCATTGTCGTGGTGGTGGTGGTGGTGGTGGTAGTCGTCGTCGTCACCGTCGTCGTCACCGTCGCCATCAGCGCCATTAGTGTCGTCGCTCGCCGCCGTCTTCCGCCGCCGTCGCCGCCGCCGCCACCGTCGTCGTGGTCGTCACCGTCGTCGTCGCCGTCGCTGGCGTTGTCTTCGTCGTCTTGGCTATCCACCAGGCCCGCGGACCCGGTTGGTCGAGCGCGCGTTCGGGACGGCTCCAGTCTCGGAGGTTGATAGACCTCCTACCTTGACGCGTCGATTAGCGAATCGGCCGTTTTCGGTTCGCGAGGGGGCGTCGCGGCCGTCAGTTTGCGGGTCCAGGTCCGTCGGTTTCGGTCCTGGGTCGTTTTCACCAAAGGGAGGTGTACTAAATGGAGGTTTGTCCACCGCCGATAGTCAGTCCAGAGAGTATCCCGGGAGCCGTGGGGCAGTTTTCTCGGCGCCTTGCTCGGCCACGGGGGGCCCAGCAGTGACCACGTCTGGACACGGCACGAAAGACCTTTCCAGGACGGCGTTTGGCAGGGGTCTGGGGACTGATTTTGAGCGAGCGCGGATGCGAGAGGAGGAGGAGGACGAGGAGGAGGAGGAGGACGAGGAGGAGGAGGAGGACAAGGAGGAGGAGGAGGAGCAAAAGGTGGAGAAGGGGACATCGTGGCCGTGCCTATCAGTCTGTGAATCATTGGGGCCCTGCAGTGCGTTCAGGCACCGCGTGTCGTCTGGAGTCGCTCCGGGTAGCCGCCCGAAGCTCGAGTTACGCACCTGAAGCCAACCATAGAATATGGATGCGGCAGGAGGAGGAGCAGGGGAGGAGAAGGGGAGAATTTTGACAACCTGGTCACGTTGTGGCGGAACTCCCGGGGCGCTCGTCGCCACGTCTGAGGGCGTCCCCAGCTCCCGGCCACAGCACGCACCAGGGCCTCCCCCCGGGCGCACGGGGTCGGGCGGTCGACCGCGAGGAGGAGGAGGAGGCCCCTCGCAGCTGGGCGCTCGCTGGCCGATCCTGCTCGAGAGGTCGGGTCGGGAGCTCCAGGAGGTGCTGCTCTGCCGCGGCGCCGTGGGGGGAGCAGTCTCGCCACCACCCGGGGGGGGGGGGGGCCACGGGGGGGCTAGTGGCGATGGCGCCTGGCTGGCGCGAGGGCGAGCAACCCTGGGCTCTTGCATGGGGGTGCGCCCGTGGTCTTCTCGGGGCTCTCCGCCCCGGAGCGTCTCTCGCTTCGGGTGCGTCCGTGTGGCTTCGACGCTGGTTATTCCGGCGACCGCGGCTCGTGTTTTTTTTGTCCTGCGTTCTCGTGGCCCGATTTCGACCGTGTGCAGTTTTGGGGCACCTGCGCGCACCATCCCGCATAGCTACATCCCACTCACACCAGCAAGCTTGCACTCAGATGCGATAGTGACCAGTGTCGTGACGCGCGTGACGCGGCTAGTCAGGCCGAGAGCTGGAGGTTTGGGGGAGCATGTCTTGTCAGCGCTCCGCCTTCGTAGTAGGAAGCTGGATACACATGGCGCGGCTGACCTGGGCGAGATGTGGATGCACATGTGGCCAGACGTTGTTCCAGCGCTCGTCCCTGGTATGGCCAGGCGCGCTGGACTGCCGCATGTGCATCCAGCGTTTGTCTTCTGGACGGTTCGCGAATAGTCATGTATTTCACCAGCTTCCTGGCCCAGAAGGCGCATCAAGCAGACATCAGCCTGCCAAATGGCGCCCCATGGGAAGTGCTTACCTTCCGGAGGTCCTGGGTTTGCTCGGGAAGGTTGCGGTTGGACGACGAGTGTTCCCTCACGCTTAAAAGTCAAACAGTGTTCATTGCCTTATCCACCTGCTGTATAGCGCCAAGTATGCCGGCTTGGCACATGTGTATCGAACCCAGCATTGTGTTTGTGTGTGTGTGTGTTGTGTGTTGTGTGCGTGTGTTTTGTATTGTTTGTCATGCTTCCTAGCGTTCCTTTGCATCCCTTATGTTCTTGCGCAGCTGTGGAGTACTAGTCATGGCCTCGATTTGCTGAAGTGGGTTTCGCCGGTTCGCAGTTTGGCCGGAAAAGGCGCCGCTGTCACATGGAAGGATTGCAACCGATGCAATCCACAGGGAAGCTGGTTTCGCGTAGCCAGTTCCGACTTCCAGGTTTAATGCTGCGTCTGTTACGCTCTGGCGACGAAAGTTCGTAACAGCAGTTGAGATTTGGGAAAACAAGACCCTCACAGGCATTTCCAGAATTGTCTGGCGCTGCTCCTACCTCATCTCTTGCATCTCTCGGCTCTCTCACGTCAAGCACCCCCCCCAGAGCAGTCCAGCCAGAGTGACTTGTGAGCAGGGAAGTCTTGGCTCGAGAGCCGAGGTCGCGTATAGGACTGTCCGACCGGATCGTCCAAGAACGTGTTCACCCGAGCGTCGCGGGGTCTCTATTCATGTTGTCTTGTTCTTCTCTATCTCTTTTTCAGTTCTGACATTCCTCGGCTGAAAGGACACAGCTGCTTATAACAGTAATAATTGCTGTGGTTCTTACATGATCCCCGATACCAGCGGCAACAACTGTCACGGGTAGCCCGTAGGTGCCTGTTTCTGTTCAGCCACCTCCACCTCCACCTCCTCCACCTCCTCCCACTTCTCCTGCTCCTCCTCCTCCTCCTCCTCCTCCTCCTCCTCCTCCCCCTCCTCCTCCTTCTCGGGATATTTGGGGATCTCATCATCACCATCGACATCACCATCACAATCACCCTTACCATCACCATCAACATCGGCATCATCGCCATCACAGGCATCCTCCCTGCCCTCCTTCTCACCCTTCCGCGCGCGGAGGAGAAGATGAAGAGGAAGAGGGTGACTATGAGGAGGAGGAGGAGGAGGAGGAGGAGGAGGAGGAGGAGGAGGAAGAGGAGGAGGAGGAGGAGGAGGAGGAGGAGGAGGAGGAGAGAGACATGGAGAGGACGTGGAGGAGGAATAGGTGGAGCGGGGGAGCCAGGGAGCAGAGGAGGCGGAGGAGGAGGCGGAGGAGGAGGCGGAGGAGGAGTTGGAGGAGCTGGAGGAGCTGGAGGGGGAGGAGGAGGAGGAGGAGGAGGAGGAGGAGGAGGAGGAGGAGGAGGAGGAGGAGGAGGAGGAGGCGGAAGAGGAGGAGGCGGAGGAGGAGCCGGAGGAGCTGGAGGAGCTGGAGGGGAGGACCATCCCGAGGCTGTGGATGATGCGGGGTGGGGCGACGGGCCTGGAGAGGAGTCCTACTTATGGGCTTGGGGGGGGGGGGGGGGGGGCACGGTGGTTTTTCTGCAGGACGTGCCGGGCCCACGGGCGCAGGCAGGCCCACCTCCCGACGGACGGCTGTGCTCCCCTGGCCAGGGAGGGGCCGCGGTGCGGCGAGGCTCGCGCGCAGGGCCCTCGACGGGCTCCGAAGGG